AGTTTTGTACAATGCCATGACTCGCAGCGGCGAAGTTCTCAATTTAAGTTACTTCTTCGGTCCAGGAAAGGCTGCGACTAGATGTGGGAGACTGATTCTGCCATGTGAGCCGGGGATGACTTGTGTGGTTAAACCAGGCACGATGATTCGTACTGACAAATGCTGATTTCAGTGTATTCCCCCTCCCACCCCACCTAACTTTTTGGACTACTGTGTGGATGAGGCTAGCTCATCATCGTTTTAACTTCTCACAGGATGCTGATCATCATCATGAAATCTCATTAGCAAGTTAGTAGTTCAATGAGTTGGGCTGTTTGGAAGCTCCAGGCCCGGGACCGAGTAGTTGAGACTAGATTTGATGTTGTGTCCTCTTTTTTGTTAGTAGATCCCTCTGCTAGGCATGCTAACCACATTTGGATTTTTTTTTTTTGGGAAGCTTCATTTAGATGGCACTAGGGGAAGCTTGTAGTTTTATGTCCAGCTGCAAAGGTGGCAGTGGCAGGGAAAGGTAGCTTTGTTTGACCTTTCCCTAGAACGGGTGTTTTCACTTCAAAATGACTTGAAATGTGAAGGTTTGGCCTTGTCTTTTAGGATTTTCTTCTGGTGGTGACTTGCCTGCAAAGCCAAGGAGGACCTCTCAAGCAGGCTCTATTTGAATATCTATATATGCTGATTCTCACTTGACCGTTAAGTCACGAGCGTCCCATCGATTTAATTGGGAGCTGGGTGATGAATCCCCTAGCTCACTTGGAAAATCAGCTTGGGGGACCGTCTTTGCTTTCTCTCCAAAGGCTGATGTGTGGTGTAATACCTCTGTCAAACGCGCCCAGTGTGATGCTCCATGAAGCAAGAGAGAAGCCATAATTCCTCTTTTAATAGCAAGGCCTTTTTGCATCTCGTTGCCCAAATGGTAGCGTGATTAACGGCGAGGGGCTTTATTCTGAGGCTAGCTAGACACCACAGACGTCTCCTTCAAGAGACTCCGGCGCGATGCTCTTATTTGTTTCTGATGCTCTAAAACTATCTGGCTTTTCCTTTCTCAGCCTCAGTTTACAGTGCGCATGTCGGTCGTTGTGAGCACCGGCGCAGGCCTGTGAACCCGCTGGCAAAACGAATCCCAAGAGGAAGCAGCAGCCCACCGCGTGGCCACGACGCCCAGTTGTGTTCGCTCAGTTGTCGTGGTGTGGTGTGCCTGGTTGTCAGCAGGGCTCGAAGATTGGTGGTCTCGACTGGATCAGCAAGATCACCTTGGTTCTCATTGCACAACGGAGGAGTTCCTATTTTTTTCGGAAGATGGCAGTGTCCGGCTGGCCAGGTCACTCCCAGGAAGAACGCCGTATTTGCGCGTAGGCAGGCCAGGTCCTTTGGGTATGTATTTGTGCATAGTCTCTTATAGCCAAGGGCCTTGGGAGCATTTGAAAAGTTGTGATGCGATCCCCGCCGGAGGAGGGACAGGACCAAGAAGTTCATTATTGCCCTACCTTCCCGGAGCTAGAGGCCTCCGGGAAATAGGACCTAGCCATCTTCATTCCCATTCCCTTCCTGACAGGTTCCCTGCCTGTTTTGTATAGTACCAAGGTTACTGGGACGTTATTTAGCACATTAAATAAAACCCCAAAACATGTTATTATAAGCTTGTGCTTTTATGAACAGTTAGTCTCTAAGGTGTCGCCCTGCCCTGGCTTCTGCCAATACTCTTTACAGTAAAACCATGTGTTGTGCTGGGAAAGGGGGTTATAGAGAATTGATCCGTCAGCCTACACTCCTAAACGGTGCCTAGAGGTTGTTCGGGCTTTTTCTCTCTAGTTTAATTCCCACCCGCTTCTTTTTAACCACTGTTTTTTCCACGGGGGGAGCAATCCACGCCCAGGGGGTGCGGGTCCCTCAGAATAGGTGCCTAAACAGCTGGCTTCATGTGTTATGGGTCTAATAACCTGGTATTTCTCAATGCTCGGAGATGCAGTCTACCTTTTACGTTGCTAATATCTAGTGAAATATTTTCATAACATCCCTGCTAAGGAAGGAAGCGTTTCAAGATAAATGCATCCTGCCGAAGACCCTCAAACAAGACCTCTCTTGAATTGCCTCAGGTGGCAATTGTAAGCCTTGCCACTCTCGGGTTTGCCTCGGACCGTGCTATAATTTGTCCGGTGCACGACTGAAAATATACCGGGTTTGGTTTAGTTTGGTCTCTTTTGGGTTTGTCGGATCTCAGTTATGTTTTGCGTGAGGTTGGTTCTTTCTTCCTCCCCTGCTTTCTTGTCGCGGGGTAGGGGGAGTCTGCAAGCATGCTCTTCCGTAACTTTGGGGACCTGAGCATGGTAGTCGGTGCTAGAGGGAGTTGTGGGGGTAGGTGGGGTGGGATGGGGTAGGGTGGTAAACAGCTGATGGGCAGGGTAAAAGGATCCTGGCACGCTCTCCGGTAGGTTCATGATCACAAATTTAACCCCTGATTCTGGAGTGCGATCTGTGTAGTTCAGAGCTGTTCTGCGTGGGATCTCATTGAAAGCTGCTTTAATATTCAGAAGTATTGCTACATATTTTATTATTGAAGTGCTGGCTTCACAATGACTTGATGTGGAATCATGCATGGCTTTTATGAAATCCTTATTTGTTACTTCT